GGGGGAGGGTTCCCATTTGTCTGGGACCAGGGCTCCTCAAGAGATGCCGGGCGGGGCTTCGTGAAGTCAGCAGTCCGTAAGGGTCCTCAAAATACTTTGGGAAGCAAAAAAGGGCGCCTGCATGGAGCTGTTTCTGAGACCGGTCCTTGCAAGGTCATGTTGCTCCGAAAAAGACACTGCGGTGTTTTTAAACGACCCCACCGTTTGATACTTGTAAGAAATCAGGGACTCGTGTCTGGATGGTTTCAGTGGGAAACTGAAAGCAAGCCAAGACAAATGGAAGCCAACAAGGGAAGACAAAAGGGTCCCATTTAAGCTAAGCACTTCTTTACCCCTCCAATTGTCGATTTCTGCAACCAGTCACTTGTTCCAGAATCAACTTCTCTCGACTGTGCCAAGGCTTCCAGATGGCTATCCTGAGCTGTGTGGAGAGCCTTTACAGGCAGGGCTCAGCGGTGACGTCGGCAAGAGGTAAACCAACAATACGACCAACAATGGCACAGGAAACCTTATTCCAAGCTCGGAAAAGGCCCAGTGCAAAGCTTTCCCTCGACCTTTGCCGGCTTTCCAGTCCATTATGGCCCGGGGGTATCCCGATTAACACCGTGACCGGCCGCTCACGATCAGCAGTTTCGGACCTGGAGACATACCTAGCTTTGGTCTTGAAAGGAGCACAGGGGAGCCGATTTGCTATTGACAGTTTGTGCTAAAACTCAACGCAGGGAGCAACCATCCATGGTTTGCAAAGCAAAGAGCTACAAAAACGCCAGTCGCAGAAAGAGATGTTGTTCTGTCACAGCTGCTGAGACAAAGAAATGCATTCAGCACATATTTTGCAAGGGCTTTGGGCACCGTTTCGATCTGCCCAAAAAGTTGAGTTCCACATTGCCCGGAAGTTTTCCCTTCTTCTGCCGGACGACCTCCTGAGTGATCCAAAGATGCTACCAACTTCAGTGGACCTCACACTTGGCAGGAAAATACCATGACCCTTGAATTTGTTTCACTCGGTGCCAAGCCATTTCCGCAGGGACAGGGAGAAGCCCTATCTTGGCCAGGCGGCTGGGCTGATTTGGCGCTCAGGTTTGTGCACCTGCACCGAAGACCATTGAATTCCCCCAAAGAGAATGCGTTCACCATTTTGCGAACGCAACTTTTTCATGTCAAGGGCTTGTCACGCACTGAAATAGTGGGGTACTTCATCGTTCTTGCGTGTCACTACCCAGCCCGCCCGTGGTTTGTGGCAGATTGAGGCGCCACTTGGATGGGTCTTCACGTGCAGTCGTGTGAAAAGATGGACTCCCTAGATACGAGGAAACACGAGTTGGTGCACGGGTCAAAATGAGGCTACGGTCCACTTCTTGATTCCATCTTGACCTAAGTTTTCCTTTGACTTCGTTGGTCCGTCCCCACACCATCTCAGTGTTGGTTGATAGTTCCCCCCATCCAAAGGCCACCCAGCCGCGCCTGAGGTGTTGAAGCGCCTGCGGGCCACGAAGCTTTGGCTGCCGTCGGAGCTGCGCGCTCTACCTGCGGCCGGATGGGTTTGGGGGGGTTTGGGGAGGGGAAGAAATGAGGGAAAGACGGCTCAGAAGGGCGCAGGGCATCTTTTTTGCACAGGCTTTTGCCCGTTCCGAATCGCAAGGCATTGCAGATTTGGCACAGAAAGAAGAATTCCGGCAATGTAATGCAAGATGTAGATCGCCACCTCACGAGGGGATTTTGCGACAAAGTCAGGCCCCATGATGATTTGGTTCTTGGGAATTCCTTGTTTTAGGAGTGACTCAAAGTAATTTGCCCAGCGCCTTGGGATGAATTACGGGGCTTATGATTCTGCCTTGGATGATTCCGCCCTGCATGCCTGCGCAGCATGTTTGGGACGCTTTCAGACTTGATTGCCTGGATGTGAGGCCCAAACCAACAGCAGACTACAGATGATATTGTCAGTGACTCATGTGTGTTTGTGAATGGCCCAGAGATTGGAGCCCTTGCTTCACTGGTACTACAGCGGCACATCATTGGCACAAATTGCGACATCTGAAACCTTCCCAACATGTCGCATTTGGGCCACCCAAAGCACCCACAAAGACCAGGGGGACTATGTAATTTTCTCATGTGCTTGTGGAGAAGCAAGTAATTTTGTCCGTTGCTCACACAGGCTAGGAAGCTCTGGAGCATGTTTTCTTTCACGTGGTTTTTTTTCCAAATGGAGGTACCCCGATACTTTGATGGGCTTCCGTTTGGCTTTTGGGTTTCGCTTCAATTCGCAAACAGAGCACCAACTCCACAACAAAGCGTGCACAGACACAGAGAGCCTTATGGGTTTGCTTGTTTGAGAGTACCCCCCCACTTTCTTTGTGGTTTGAAAGGGGCACCAAAAGGACGACCGAAGCCATTTCGGGGGTTCCCCTAAAAGAGGACAGACCCATATTCCTCGAGGTCGGTTTTTGGGGGGCGGCATTCGCCAGGTCTGCGCCCAAGAGGGCCGCTACTACCTGGTGCCGCCTTTCGGGGGCCTGGCACCCTGCCTACTACTGCGCTGTGCGCCCCCAGGCGCATCCGAAAGTGAACATGTTGCCATGGGTTCCATGGGTTCCGTGGGTTCCATGGGTTCCAAGGGCTGGCCATATGTTTGGTCTTCCTCTTTAAGCGCTCTCTCTCTCTCTCTCTCTCTCTCTCTCTCTCTCTCTCTCTCTCTCTCCCCTAAAGGTCTTTCTCTTCTTCTTTTTCTTCTTCTTGGCATGTTTGTCTTACTCGTCGTTCTTTGTGTCGTGCTTGCCGTCTATTGAAATCATTCACCTTTGAGAAGGAGGCCACCTATGGGTGATGGACCCGTCCTCAACTGCCGGGCTTGGGCCTTGCGAGGCTACACGGAGTGGTACGGCAACATGCCGCTGGAGGCCCCTGCGGTGTCGAAGGAGGAGGAATCCGCCAGGCGAGAAGCAAGGGACGCACCAACAAAGATTTAGGGCAAGCCTTCGAAGTCTCTTTCAAGCTAAACCGTGCATCAGGCCCTAAACGTGGGATGCCAAGGAGTTCCCCATGGCAATGAACACGGCCCTAAACGTAGGATCCATAGATCTGGGTGAATTGTAACGACCTCACACGACCTCACCCCAAATGGTGGTTTATGTGGGGAATATCCCCCAACCACCTTATTCCAGGTTGGTAAAGTATTATAATTTACCCAGATAGATGGGTTTATAGACTCATGAAACTGCGAAACATTTTGAGTGTCACAAATTTTGACCCTTTTTGCATCAGGCCCTAAACTTGGGCAGTGGGGTTTTTCACTTTTGGGGCCATGGTGAAGGGCCATGGCCGTGGGTGACCTGGCAGGAACCTGCGCGCCGGCATGGGCGATGCTCGCTGCGCCCAGCTGCGGGAGGTGGTGGAGGATCTCTACGCGGATCGCATCGAGCCGAGCCTCCCGGAGGCTCCGACGGTTTTTCTTTTGAAGGGGGAGGAAGGGGGGGGGGAGGGGGGGGAAGGGAGGGGAAGGGGGGGGGGACAGCGGTCTGGGTGGAAGGGTGACCTGTATTGCAAGAAGTACGCCATTTGAGCTGCAGACAGGCAGACAAAGGTGGATGTAGCGGGCAGATGGCGCGAGAGAGATCTGTTGGGATGAACAACATGTGTCAGGTTGTTTGTCTATCCGCAGGACATGCGGCATCCTGTGGCCCATGGGTGTCCGAAAATGCGTTGGGCCACCGGCCCTCGCAAAGGTGTATGGATTGGCCTGATTGGTCCTGGGAAAAAATATGTTCATCAACCAGAGGGGAATGGTAATGAGGAAAGGCCGCAGGCGTGCATGCGGCCGGGGTGACATGGGATTCTTGAAAAAGCTCGTTTTTGCGAGGCAAGAGGAGTGAACAGAAGAAGCCGTTGCAACTGTGGTTTGAGGGCCACTTTCAGCGAAAAGCTAAGGGGTCCGCCTTCAAAGCGCTACAGTAGTCTTGGTTGGATGGGAATCAGCCACGAGTCACAGATCTAGAGAAGATGTGGCATGGGCGTCTTCCCTTCAGTTTACCCTCTAACTAATATGGGACCCACCAGAGGGTCCATTTTAGAAGAGCATGGTCTTCCGGGAGCCTCCAGTCAGGTTCCATGGTAGTGGGAGGAACGCCTTGAGCCATGAACCAACAATCTAGGCGAATCGGGGTATATAGCTATACAAGCCATCCTGGATTGATTCTATAAACCCCACATATAAAACTTAGCCCCATTTTCTACCACCAGTTCCGGTGATGTTTTTTCTATTCCCAAGATGGCTTCGGATTTTATGGATGGCCTCGCGCTCCGGCTTCGGTTCGACGGTTCGACGCGGTCGAGGTGCAGGAGCGCCTGCGCCTGCGCGGCTGGAGCTTTGCGGAGGCCCAGCAGGCGGTGCTGCTCTATGCGCCTTGCCGCGAGGAAGGAGTCGGGCGGAATGGGCGAAGGAGTCCGTGGCGGAAATGGCGTTTTGGGGAGTGATCAAGATGAGTGTTCTTTTTTTTTGAGTGTTTTCTTTTTTGTGGCATCTGTGTGAATTGATTGGGAAAGATCAGCTTTTGGGCGCATTGGCACATTAGTTTTGAAGTAAGGGTAGGAGGCAGAGAGGGAGAGAGGCAGAGAGGCAGAGAGGCAGAGAGGCAGAGAGGGAAGAGGGAAAGAGGGCGTGTTGGAAGGGGATAAGAGGGGTTTCGCAGTTTCACATGTGCTTTGTCAGATCGCAACTGGATTAACGGGCCACATACTCGAACTCCCCCCCCCCAGTGTGAATGTTCTAGTGAGCATCCTGCATTCAGAAACAACCAAATGAATCCGATTGCATCTCCGTGGGCCCACCACGATTGAAGGGCGTACAAATCCTTTGCACGTGAAGCCACAGCTTTTCTCATCCCACGCCATTTTGCAAGAGATCGACCAAAGCTTCTGGGGATGCCAACAATGGTTCGGCACATCCTTGGAGTTGAGTACCAGCGTTGTTCACGCTTCAGACCAAGGGGCATCCCAAGGCGTTGGGTGCCCTCCGGAGCCATGTCGCTGTGAACTTTGAGGGTGGGTTGTTTTGGGGCGGTTCTGAAGGGACACCACAGGGAAACCATCCGTTTTGGGGTTGCCTTATTTGGGAGACAAACCCATGTTCGGGGTGAACAGCTAGCGGACCAGCAGGTAGACCATCAATTCAAGAAGCTGTCTCAATCTGATTTATTTTCAGCAGGAGTTCAACAAGACAATTTATTGGGCGCGATGTTCAAACACGCCCAAAGACTGCAGCTTCATTCCGTGGATGTTCTCTGCTTGTACTTCCTGTGGTGGCCTTTCCCTGTCTCCAAACCCCTGAAATAGTCGGTTTCTGCTGATTTGCACCCCCAAAACGGGTACCTTCAAAACTCGACACACCCATTTATGCCGGTCCACAAAAAGGGAGACTCCTGACCTTGTAAGCGAAGGCCATTTCCCATGTCCGGCACTTGTTGTTTCGTTGCCTTCGGGGCATTTCCGATGTCAGCGGGCGCTTGGCCTTGCCACCAGCGGCTCAAAAAAGTGGTGCCCATCTGTTGGCCCCTTGGAAACAAACAGAGTGGGGCCACCCATTGGTTTAAACATGCTTGAACCACTGGTTATGATGATTCTTCCCTTGTAAAGGTGGTGTTTAAACCATATTTTGCTCACCCAGGCAACAAAGAGGCCAAAACCAGTTTGCCCCAGCTCTTGAAGTTGCCAGACCCAAGGCCTGTCAGAAGGAGACCTATCGGATCTGCAAGCCAACCGCCAGCAAGCCGGTGGTGGTCTTCTTGCAAGAGACGCCTCCGGGCTTCGAGGGCTGGGCCGATGGGATCGGCCTGCTGCCGGAGGCGAGGCGGGCTGGCAGAGAAAAGGCCATGGCCATGGCACGAAACTTTGACGTGATTCATTGCCAATTAAGTCAGATTTGAAGGGCGAGTTTTCCGGAGATCAAGTCAGATGCTGCCTTGGATGCGCAGAGAGATTTCTTTTCGCGAGGGCAGGTGAACCCATCACGCGCTTGCTGCTGTTAGAGACAGTTCGCAGTTCGCTGCTTGGAAGCTTCCTCTCGTGAAGCATGATCCGTGCTTCTGAAAGATATTGTGAAGGATTTACCACCCCTTTGGAGTACCTCAGGTTCTAAGTCACTCGTGCTCTCCATACGGACCCAGACTCCACGGATCCTGATTTTGATGCAAGTCAGGCCTTTGCCACACTGCTCTGCCGTGTGCACGTCGAGCGCCGTGCGAGTGATGCAAGTCAGGCCATGTGTGGAGCTGGACAAATTTGTTGCCATGACTTGAGTGAGTCGCCAGACCTTGTCACGCATGGGGTGTTTGTCGTTATAGTTATTGTGTTATTATCCAGGCAAGATCCAAAAGCCCGGCAAACTCATTCACCCCCGATCAAACCCCATCAAATCCCATCAAACCCAACCGACCCCGTACCCCAATCATGCCAATGCATGCTTTCCTTGTCGACTGGGGATCTCAAGGCGTCTCCAGACATGGAGCTGGGCTTGAAGTCTGTGCTGGCGGCAGGCTCGGAGATAATTCAGAGATGGGTATGGGTCAAAATAAAACCACCAGGGGACCACAGGTTTGGGTCCATGTTTCCCAGTTATTTGGGTACCTATTTTTGACCCGCAGCCAGATCACCTCTTCAAAGTGGCCATGAGTTTCAAGAGTTGGAGCCACCACCAGTGGTTGGTGGACATGGATCCCCAGCGAAGTTTGTCCATCAAAGTCTACCCAATGAAAACTCACACCGAAGTAATCGTGCAGCGGCATCAGCGTTGCGAGTGCAGAACAGCGATTTGCCCTGCGTGCAAACCGTTCGTTTCTGTTCACTTCGTGGGCTGGCTCGATCCTGGCTGAGTTTAGACGTGGACATGTTTCATCAAAGGGTAGCTTTCCTCTTTCGTGTGTCGACCATCAACTGTCCGTGGTCCCGGGATGGGTCGCCAAGGATTTAGCATTGACCTCAGCCAAGCCCAGTGTTGCCTGCCTTGGGGTGCTTCCTGAAAAAGGTATCCCATAAATCGTGAGCTGTTTGTTTTCGTTTTCCTTTGTAGTCATCCCCAAAATGGTCCCTCCAATTTAGGGACCTATTTGATCGCGACTCGTCTAACATCGCCCCTTGAGCACGGCCCAAACCAAGGACCTCCAGTTTGGCGACCGGTGGGGTGAGTGTCAGGCTCGGGGAAAGACTTGTTCAAACCTCGGTCTTTCATACGGCGGGAAGCGACAAATTGTTCAAACAAACCACCCTTGGTCTAAAGTTTCATAAGGGAAGCCACAAGGATGTTGCTCAAACACTCGAAACAATGATAAGCTAGCGTCTTGTTTCGATTTGTTTGATTAAACACGACGGGAGCGCATTGCTAGGCCTTGCCCCACGACTCTCGGGCGGTGTGGCCGGTGCAGCCGCAGCGCTGCAAAGTCATTGCCGCCGGAGTTTGGGTGCCTTGGCCAGCGTTTGGCAGGGTTTGGGGTTGGGGGTTGGGGGTTGGGGGATGGCAAGTTGGGTTGGGGTCCTTTCCACATTTGCTTTTCTTTGGAGTGAAGCTTTTTGTTTTGGAAGGCTGCTTTGAAATGAGCATTTGGTGGGATGGACTTGTTGTTTGGATAATTTTGGTTGCCTGCTTGCATTGCGGACGCCGCTGCAAAGGACTTTTGTTTTTCTGGATTTCTATGACTTTTCCTTTGGCCAAATTGAAAGTCTAAAACAGGAGCGAGTCCAGACAAACCTGGGGGTATGCCCCCCAATAGACAGTGGTTCGTATCATCCGTGGCACCCCACGGAACCAGGTTCCAACCCAGGTGACCTCTCGTCAAGTTCCTTCTGAGTAGTTTCCGTGGGCAACCCAAAGGGAACGATTCGCATTGCTTTGAGCAAGGCAAACAAGGGGTATGTTTGTGAGACATTCCTGGTGCTTTTGAATCAGTCTTGGCATTGGCAAGAAGTGATACTCTCACACACAGACATAAATACAATCACATGTTGCACCATGGTTGCCACAACATGTAGGCATACACAAGATATATATATATATATACACTGAATATATATATATATATATATATATATATACGGTACTCCCCCGCGCAACAAAACATGCCAACCATGACAAACAAACACATATGCTACAATGGTCGGGCCAAACAATCACAGACAACAAGCAAAGCTCAAAGAGCTCAGAGGAGAAGTTTCGGAAGTGCCAACCGTTTTGTTGTTTCCTCCAGGTGTTGTTAGTTTTACCTTAGTCTTTTGTTGCACTGTCCTTGCAAGAAACAGCAAGACTCGATGTTTTTGGTAGGATTGAAACAATTGAGGGGAAACAAAGCAACACAAACAAACACCTCGAGAAGACAACAAAGCAACAACTTTGGCGACTCCACATCTTCTCATGAGTTTTTTCATTTTTCACAGCCCATAGTTAAGCCATTTTTGACCCAAAGTAAAGGCGTGGGGCCTTCCTACGTGATTTTTTATACTGCGCAACCATTTCTGACTTTTGATGTTACCGTTCGGCGTGGTCTTTGTGGCGCTACTTCTTTTTCCTAATTTGCTCAGCACTAAAGGCACACACACACATATGAATTCTTTAGTTTTGCCAATGCCAATTGGGCACTTGACTACAAAACTACTAGAACCGGAACAACAAAAGCAACTGGGGAAAGCCAAGACACACAACTCAAAGGAGAAGTTTTAGCTTGCCAAACGTTGTGCATGTTTTTGTTTTCTCAAAGCGGTTTCTGTGGTTGAGCTCTGTTTTGTTTGTCCGTTTCCTTCCTGCTTTTCTTCATTCCTTCAAACAAACCAATCGACAAACAACCAAGCTCGAGTTGTGAGGACTTTGATTCAACACGTAACTATAATATGAATACTTTTCATGGGGGAGAATCGAATTAGACATTTATTTCAATTTATAATTTATCACTCTGCTATGACTCCAGCTTTTCATAAAGCTCTTTTCAAGGCTCCTTATCAGGCTCCTTACTTATCAGGCTCCTTGTAAGGTTTCTTGTACAGTTTCTTGTAAAGTTGCTTGTAAAGCTTCTTTGAACGCTCTAATTCTTCTTCTACCAACTTGGATTCTAATCTAAGATGAACATCAACTAGAATATACATATACTTTAATAAGGCAAGAGTTCAATTCGGCTCTTCAGATAGAATTCTATCAATAACTCCATAACTTGAACTTAACAAGGGACACATCAGATATCACTTCAGTTCATCTGTCTGGTGTCTATACTCAACAGTTGTCCAAGATAATGATGTGCGTCTTGCCACGATGGACTGCAAGCCCATGAATTTGTGCTACTTAAGTCTACTGCAACAAGAGTAAAAGCACCCAGCCGATGCTCTCAAATCAAGCAAAACGGCGGGGTTGGGGTGGGGGGGTGGGGGTAGTAGCATATATATATATATAATATTATGTATATATATATATACACGTATAGATATGTATGCATACACCATGCGAGTAGACACAATTCACACAATATTTGATACATGTTAACATATGCATATTATAGATAGATACGCGCAGCCGCACATGCTCGGATATCAGCTATCCTCACCGAACCTTATTGCTTAGGCTGGCTTCCCACTTACTAAGCAGGGTGCATTTCAAAATTTGCGCCTACGGTGTATCATTACGTATTTGTAACACGTGCATTTGGAACACAACAGAGGAGGCGATTCTCTCAAGCACTGTTTATTGTGCTCATCACTGGTGGTAAGACCGATCGGTTCGCATTGAGGGCGGCTTCCGGAAACGAGAGCAGGCTGCTGTGTCTAGCTAGTTTGCATGAATTGAATTCCAAAGAAGTGGAAAGACGAGAACCCAAGGGGAGCGATGACAACAAAGAGACATACTAGTGAATTGGGATGCTTCCAGGTCCTTTCAGAGGACTAGAACCCAATGTAATGCACGAGAAACCAGCCCATTGGCAACAACTGAACCTATGACCAAGGCTTCTCATCAAGGCCACAGGCTTCTGAATGTGGACACACACACACACACACATACGGAGTCTCAGCCTCAGCAAGCTTGTGCCGCTGAAATCCTGGAGAAAAAGGGTAGACTTAGGCAGGTGTTCAATCTCAGCTGCCTTATGACTCAACCACGACCAATTGTTCAATTCGTTTAGCCACAGCCAGGATTTCTGTTTGTGGTGAAAAGGCTTTTTTCTCAGAACCAAGTAAATAAATCTTCCTTTGAGGTCCTGGTTTGAAAGGGCCACAGGGACTATGTCCACCACGGAATCCTGCACGAGCCCACACCTCCAGGCGAGCTGCGGGCACTAGTGCGGGTCTTTCTGAAGAAAGGCGCGGAGAATTGGGAGCGTGGCAGTTTGCAGCCAACAAGGGGCGACATTCCAGCTAAAGCTGCTGGGCGCTTGAGTACGGCTGTAATCGCCCACAACTCACCCACAGGCGGCCGTGACTTCGGCATTGTGGGCTACAACGCAGGCCATACGGCAAAACAATAACAGCAACAGCAAGGAACGCAACGACAACGCAGATAAGGCAACAGCGGCATTTGCAATGAGGAGATCTTTCGCAATGCTGCCAATGACAGCAATCAGCAGCAGCAGCAGCAGCAGCAGCAGCAGTAGCAGTAGCAGGAGCAGCAGCAGCGGCGCTAGCGCCAGCGCCAGAACCAGCACCAGCAACAACAACCGCCAACACAACCACCACCACCACCACCACCACCACCACCACAACAACAACAACAACAACAACAACAACAACAACAACAACAACAACAAAATAAGTAAACATCACATTAACAACAACATTTAAACGACATTAACAACTTTAACCACCTGGTCAACATTACCAACATTAACAGCATAAACAACATGAACAACAGCGAAAGCGAAAAACAACATCAACAACACCGATAACCAATGACAACCGGACAATGGCGATGGAAAACGTCAATGTGAGCCCACATCACCGGTATAATAATAATAATCATCATCATCATCATCACCAACATCACCAACATCACCAACATTACCAGCATCACCAAAATGAATCCACTACCAGCATCACCACACCAGCATCACCACACCGGCATCTCACACCGGCATCACACCGGCATCACACCGGCATCACACCGGCATCACACCGGCATCACACCGGCATCACGCCGGCATCACTGGCATCCGGCATCACCGGCATCACTGGCATTACCAGCATCACAGGATCACCCGCCTTACCGGCATTACCGGCATCACCGGCATCACCAGCATCACCGGCATCACCGGCATCACCGACATCACAGGCATCACCGGATCACCTGCATTACCGGCATCGCCGGCATCACCGGCATCACCAGCGTCACAACACGCAACACAACACGCAACTCCAGCACAAACAGCAGCCCAAACAGTAAACCAAAACAGCCCTTGCACCCTGCCGTCAACCCCGCAAAAATGAGCCCGCACTGTCAGCAACAAGAAGCAGCAGCAAGAAGCAGCAACACAACAAGGTGTCCTCATGGCTCCTGCGAATGTGAGCAGTCAGCTTCCTGTTGGCATTTTGCTTCTCGTCAGCCGTTCAGGCGCGTTCGTGTTACAGGTAAACAGTCACAATGAACATGCTGTCACGAGCACCCACGCAGGACAATGGAAAGCGTGCGTGTTACAGGTCAAATACTCAACGATCATGCCATGTAGGTGTTGCAGGTGACACGCCCACAATCAACACGCAGTCACGAGCACACAGGCAGGACAATGGTGGCGCACGTGTGGCAGGTGATCGCAATGAGCACACAGTCACGAGCAAAGCTTTCGTGTTGACAGACCCATTTGCAACCAAAGCACCCACCCGCAACTGCCAAAACACACACCAAGACAGACCATACATATTCAGATGTTTTGATTGTTTTCTGAGTGTGCTTTTTAAGGGTTTCTTTTTTGCGGGAAACATAATCTATGGAACTTCCATCGTATGTTATGAGGCTTTGGCATTTGCCTGCCAGGGCTCCTGTGCTACAGCGGGGATGAGCTGTTGCCCACTGAACAGCTCAAAGCAGAACTGAACTGGCTGCAGGAGCGGCTTTCTGAGCTTATCGTTGTTGGCCGCGCTGTGCTTAGCACACACACGTATATACGTACATATACGTATATAATATATACATATATGCCTATATACATATATACATATACACATATATTCATATATACATATATGCATATATACATATATACATATATACATATATACATATATACATATACACATATATACATATATACATATATACATATATACATATATACATATATACATATATACATATATACATATATACATATATACATATGTATGTCTACATACTTCGATATAGCTATATCAGGACAGCATTTTAAGAGGATGTCAGGATGTCACCAAGTATCCCCCAAACCACGACCCAGGAGAGAACATAGAACCTTAATTTGTAATACCAATGCGTGCCTACCCGAGGCGCTCACGAAGTACGCCTGGGCATGTAAAAGAAAGGCTGACTTTTTGGAAAGTTAGCTGCAGGCAATGCTGAGGATGTTGCAGGTAACGCTGGAAGCAGCTAGTCTGTCGGTGATGCTTAGGATGTTCAGGGGCCCGGTTTTCGGACCCCTTATCAGACATGTTCGGTGTTCAGGAAAACCAGTCCCAACAAGGCCGTCAATTTCAGCCACGTTTGGGGCCAAACCCGAAACAAGGTACAGACAAACACCAACAAGTCGGTAAATCGCACGAAACATCAAACCGCATCAAGACAAGCCCAAAACGCCTGCGGCCCAAGGCCTCGAGGGGTAGTGGACAACGTAGTGGAGAACCTGTTAGGTACGTGGCTCGGGCTAGATTCAAGCTGAAAAGGTCCGTTGATCAAAAAAGAGCACTTCCCAACCGCTCAATGAAACCCGGGCATGGCCCAGGGCCCGGCTTTGTCCATTTGGGTTCTTATGCTTGCGAGAGATGTGTGATGTCCGGCCTGGAAGGTCTCTTTCACTCAAGTTTTCGAGCATATTTTGGCCTCCCTTTGCCTTGGCCTGCTTTTGCTCTCTTCTAGTGAAGCAAATGCGCAACATGTGGAATATGTTCTTTTTTTAAATGAGGGCGCCCCTTTCGGGTTTGGCTTATGTAAAGGGAAACCGAAGGGAAAAAAATAGTAAAAGGAGAATTCAAAGAATTATTCTTTCTACTATTTTTTCTCCAACAGCAACACAACAAACAGAAAACAAAATCCAGAACAACAAGCAAACAAAATAAATAATCACAACCAGCAACAAAAATATTTAATCACAGCATACAACATTAAATAATTCAAACAAGCATACCAACAAAACAGCAACACTCTAAATCATCAAAGACACTCAACTCAAAAACACACATCAACAAAAATCAAAGCAACATACTAACAAAAAATATCACAAGAGCATCAAACAAAACAAAAACAAACAGTCAAAGCACGAAAAAATTGAAGAAGCATACCAAGTCTAAACAACGCACTTTGAAAGAGATAAGCAAATTAGGAAAATATAATAATTCAATCTTTACAAACGATAAATATATTACAATTATAACATATAATATTTTACATGTGATAATCATAGTATGATTAAACCTGTTTTTTAGTGTTTCCAGTCTCCTATGTTGTTCCAAGAACTGCTCAAAATGTTTCTGATATTATACCAGATTAAGTTAACGTCATAATCTTTCATTGGTGCTCTTTGTTGTATTAAATAACGCAACACTGATACCAAAGTATAATAATTAAAATGCATTGTTGTCATTCCTCCTCTTTCATTAATACTATTACCATTATGTTTAACGAGTTCTTCTTTCATTATGTTTTCGTAAATCTCTTTTATCCATTGATGATTTTGTTCTCCATACTCAGCGAACATATCTGGATATATATCTTTCATTGTTTTATCGTTTTTAATTATTTCAATGACTTGTTTATACGATGGATAGGGATTATCCTTAATGAAGCTCAATATTATCTTTCTATCCTGTTCCAGCTCTTTTTCTGTCACTCCTATCATTGGCATTTTTCTCTTATTATATTAAGTCTGTATTCCTTTAAGTCATTTTACATTATAATTATAACATATAAGGGTATAAATGTTATAATCATTCCCCGATTTTATCAAAATCATTCCCCGATTTTATCAAAATCATTCCCCGATTTTATCAAAATCATTCCCCGATTTTATCAAAATCATTCCCCGATTTTATCAAAATCATTCCCCGATTTTATCAAAATAGGTGGTGGTTTGGTTCATTGCAATTGCATGTGCTCAAGTTGCAAGCCCAACCCCAAACTCAAAATCCTTAATCCGTCAAACTCACTAAGATTTCACAAATTAATTCGCTAGGTATTTTGTATAGGTCTTCCTGCTTATGTATTATTGGATTGTCTCCCCATTGTTCCTTGTTTCCACTTGGCAAACGTTGCGCAGTTTCAATATGTTTATTATTCCTGATGTTGCCACAATCCTTTTTACATAATTCTCTAGGTTTCCAAGTTGTAATGTTATTCCATAGCCTAGTCCTCTTTCTATAATTAAATCCATATTTACAATAATCAACATCTTTAAAATCAAACTCATCCATAAACTCCTGATGTTTTAATAATCCAGTTTGTGGATTTTCGATTACAAAATATTTAGGATTGAAATATTTGATAATCTCAATAGTTTTTAAGACAATACTATTTGCATATTCGATATTCCTAATTCCCCTAGTTTTTGCTATGCTGTATTCAGTGCATGGGGGACTACTCCAAATAAAATCAAAATGGTTTCTGTCAAACTGTTTGTAATCCCACTCCAAAATATCAGTGTTGATATCAGCATTTTTCAAGTCTAATGATATTACATTAAATCCAAGCGACTTTGCTATGGTTCCAACGCTTTTTGTTCCGCTAAATAATTCTAATAAATTCATATTATTAGAATTACTTAGATATTAATTATTCAAATAATACATATACTCCATCATCATTTTTTGAAATTTTGTAAAATTCTAAAGTGGTGCTTTTAGGTTGTTTGATTTTTCCTGTATTCAACATATCACAGTATTTCTTTTGCTTTGTAGGGTAATCGCCACTGGGTCTTCCTATAGATTTTGCTTGAAATATCTTTTCGATTTTTTCTTTATCTTCATTGCTTTGTTGTTCGCGTTCAACTGGTTTCATTTTGTCATCAATGGATTTAATCATATCATTTAAGGTTTTAATATTTTTACCAATTAATGTTATCTTCTTCATTAAATCATTAATAGTATAATTCTCATTTTCAGACATTACTATATATTTATTTAGATAATTATTTATTTAATTATTTATATTTATAAAGTGCAATTATGTTAAATCTACTCTTTAAATACTAATTTTTCATGATTTGTTTAACAGTTTCCTGAGTTTCGTTTTCATTATTATCGGTTGGTGTTGCTTGCCTACCAAATTTAAAAGTTATACTATGGACATCAGTTTCTAAGTTGATACTGTCTTTAGTTTTATCAATATTCATTTTCTTATCATTTTTACTTATTTTGAAACTTGTTGGAATACATGAACATTTGCAACTTTTATTATTTTTTATTTGTAATTCATTCTTAAGTTCTAACATTCTTTTACATGTAGGACAAACAACCTCAATAACTGATGTTTCTTTAACAATTTCTTCATCAGTTGATGAAACACTTAAACCTGTCTTATTCTTTTTGTTTTTCTTTTTTCCCATTTATATTAATATTTATATTTTTAATATATTGTATCAAAAATTTAATTAATTCTAAAATAAAATAACATATTTTTTTACATCTATTATCAGTTATTAGTACTTGTTCTATATTTTCTACTTCATCTATTATATTAATATAATCTGAATAACTCCTTTTCATATTAAATAATAAGATAAATTATTTTTTATTTCTGTCTTTCTTTTCTTGTAAAGTTTTTTCATTGTATCGTCTTTATTCCATCTATATTCTACAAATTTCTGATGATGTTTTGAATTTAGATGTTTAAATAAATATTTGTCATCATAAGTTTTACCACAATTGCAATGGATAATTGTCATATAAATAATAAGATAAATTATTTTCAATTAATCTTATTATTTTCATGCATAATAGAATATTGGTGGGGCACAGCACTTGGGGTTTTCATTGCACGCGAGAGAGATACAAACTAATTAGCTTCAATGCTTATTGATTGTAGCAATGGAAACCTGTTCCATTATGTTATTCACCGCCATTCATAACATAATGATGTTCCATGAATATTAAATAGAATATTTATTTAAACTATTTTCTTTAGTAAGTTTTATTGAAGTTGATAGACTAACATCTCTAATATTAATATCAATAACTTCTTCTACACTATTTATCATTTCATTTGTATATGTATTAGAATAATCTTTCATAAAATTTACTAACTTTCTAAAATTAAAATCTAGGTTATTGTCATTTTCAATTGCGGACTTGGATACTACGATATTATGATTTTTAATTGCAGATAAAAAGTATAACATTGTATCATAATATATTTGTTCAGTATCTGGAACTAAGATATCACCAAATTTATATATCCTCCGAATACTAGCCACTTCACTTAAATTAATAGATTCTATAGCCATTATGATATAATTATATTATATTTTTTTATTTTATATGTATTTATAATATTATTTTTATTATGCCTGATGTAAAACCAATTGATGAAATCAAATATGACTTTAAGCAAAGTAAGCATGAGGTCGTCCCTAAATTGCCGATGAGAGCTATGATCGTCGGTCCATCTGGAAGTGGAAAATCAACTTTACTTGTATCAATGATACTTGATATTTATAGAGGAGCATTTGAAAGAATTTTTATCTGGTCTCCATCAGTAAATTTGGATAGTATTTGGTTGCCAGTGAAGAAATACATTAAGGAAGGTTTGAAAGTAGATAATGATAAAGAACCGTGTTGGTGGGATGAGTTCAATGTTGAAGATTTAGAAAGAGTTATAGAAACTCAAAATAAAATAATTGAATACCAGAAAAAACAAGGAACGAAGAAATTATTTAATATTTTGGTAATTTTGGATGATGTATCTGATAATCCAGCAATAACAAGAAATAACAAATTGTTAAATTCTTTATTTTGTAGAGGTCGTCATAGTGGAATATCAACACTTGTAAGTCTTCAAAAATCATCAACAGTACCACCAATTATTAGGGTAAATATAAGTCATTTGTTTTATTATAAAGTTAGAAATTTTAAAGAGATAGAAATATTGCAAGATGAATTATCAGCAATTGTTAGAAGCGATAATTTACATGAAAGCAAGAAACTAATTTATAAAATATATGAGACTGCCACTGATGAACCGCATAGTTTTTTATATATTAACCTTTTAGAAAAGAACCCTGATAAAATGTTTATGAACAAGTTTTCTCAATGTTTGAAAATTACTAATTAAATAATTAAATAATTAAATAATTAAATATATATTAATATT